TACTATTTTTCTAAGGGCAAAAATCGTCCTCTACACGATGGTAAAAACCGTAGATCGCTAGGACTTTTCCATAAAAAGTTATTTGAAAAACGCCACTCTGCACTGTATTTATGGATCGATAGTAGTAAAGCCGGTGTGTGTGTCTACTAGATACGAGGAGCAATGAATATTGTTGTCGTAGAAATTTTGTCGCATCTCTAATTCATGTTTTCTAGAGAATTACTCGCGAGACTGTGGTTGCTGGTGTATTTTTTTTTGCAAATGAGAACTACATTTACGATGTGTTCTTTCTCTAACAGAAGAAACTCTAAAATGTTCCTCTGTTTTAATCATAGTAATAATACAGTGATTGCTGATCGTGTAGTCTCACCTTAATAACAAACATCTGTAATGCTCATTGACGAACAGTGGGCCTTAAGTTTATAAAGAAACTTGAATGGCAAATGTGTTTATCATGTCCTTTTTAAAATAGACAATAACATCATACTCATTTGCATCTTTGTTTTATATTATAATATTAAGATCCAAAACATCGTCGTGAAATTTGGGATATTATACGTTTGTTGAAAGAAGATAAGGAAAATCGTCGTACAATTATATTTACTACGCATTATCTAGATGAAGCTGACCTGCTAGCCGATCGTGTTGCAATCATGACTAACGGTGGATTACAAGCCTATGGTACGACAAACTATTTAAAACAACAAATCAGTATGTGAACAATCTTACACAAAATAATTGAGACCCGCACAGCTTATTTCTGCCTTTTACAGATTTGGAATATCATTTATTTATGGATAAAGATGTTGGATGTGAAGAATCTGTTGTTCGATTACATTTACAATCAATTGTTCCACAAATTATATTTGATCGTGAAAGTATATCAGAAATACGTTATGGTATTGGACGAGGACAAGATATAGAAATACAACAATTAATTGAATCAATCAATTTACAACAGAAACAACTAAAAATTAAAAATTATGGAATAGCAACAATAACAATGGAAGATGTCTTCTTACAGTAAGAGACACAGAGGGACTCAGAGAGAGAGGGAGAGAGTACTTCAGACTTGAGTAAAAAGAATAATGTCATACGCACTGTAGTATAGAACAGATCTTAATGAGACGGATCTTTTAATGCTTTTAATATATAAAAAAGGTTAGGTGATTATAGAACTACTGTCGATTTTGTGTGCCGATAGGAGAACAAGTTAGTGGTGTAAGAAGCAATGTAATTGTGAGCACAAACTGTTCTTGGCTATTAGTCTTTTGATTTACATATTGCGATGTACACCTGAAAAAAGATGCTCAAGAGGATTCCAATTTTCTACCTTTCTTCATTTATTTGTCTAGATTAGTTGAAGAAGCAGATCAAACACCAAGAACAATCAATAACGATGATACATCTGTCATTCCATCGACAACAAACTCTAAGAATGATTTAATTAATAAAGGTATGTTCTAAATTTATATATTGTTTGTTCCATCGTGTACATTTAAATTGTGCTTTTATCACCAACAAGTAAACAGACGACACGTATCGGAATCTATGATACTAACATAGACTATTTGAGCAAAGATATAAAATTAGTGATTTTCGATGCGAATGTAGCTTTCAAATAGCCTGATTTTGCGTAGTACCAGTTTTAAGTTTTTGGGTTGTCGATGTAATTTACGAAATACTGCCATTGTTTTATTGATAGTGATTCCAAGAATTATCTCAAGCAAACACCTATGGGAAAATTTAGATACATTTCGCGTGTAATGGGACGATACACGACTAGTTGGAAGAGGGACTTTTAACTAGAGGCGTCTGCATATGTAACTACCAACAATTAAATCGATCGATTTTCGAATGATAAATCGATAGTTGCAACTAGAAGAAATGTAGCAATCGCGCGATTACTAGATTTTACTGTCCTTACGCAATCGTTGCAATCGACTAAAAATGTTGTAATCTAGATGAATCGGACGATACTAGATATTTTTTGTCGTTTGGGATTATACTTTTTCCAGTGTGCTAGTGAGAAGCGAACAGTTCTGCTTATTATCAAGACATTCACGTTAAAAATCATTCATTGTTCTTAGTTTTTTTTTCTGCACAATTCTAGTGTTTGGTGGAGGTGTTGGCCAACCAACACAACGTCAACTGATTGTTGGACTACCACTCTATCTAAAACAATTTTTTGCATTAATTAATAAACGTTTTATAATCAGTCGTCGTCAATATCTAACAACCTTAGGTTTTATACTAATACCATTGATAATTGAAATTATCATAATTGTCGTGCTTCCAACACCAGGGCAAATTCAATCATCAATCTTACAAAATGATCATATTAAAAATGCATCTGTACAATTAATACCATCGATTTATAATACACAAGAACAGCAGCAGACTGTTGTTATCTACGGAAATAGTAATAATACACCGTTAATAAATTTAAGAAATTATTTATCAGTTAATCAAAACATAAATGTTGAACAGATCACAACAGATACAATAATGTCGTATGTACAACAACGTTATAATCAAACTGAAATGCTATTTATGTATAAGTATCAAATTGCACAGTCATTCTATTTAAATCTAACAGCAACATTACCTCTGACATTCGATGCATACTTTTCAACAGTTAACTATCATACAATGGCCGTATCATTAGGTGTATCAATGACACAATTATTTCAATATTATTCAAATAATTCACAAAAAGAAATTATTACAACAAATATGCCATTGATTACTACGAGTAATAGTACATCAACTTCAAGTAGTGAATTATTACAAAAATTAATGTGTTTTGATGCATTACCACAAACATTATTTGGCTTTTTAAATACTGTATTAGCAGTTATATTTACATCCATATTTTTAATACAAATTATTAAGGAACGACGTACACATTCAAAAAATTTACAATTGATCTGTAATCATTTATCATATTTTATCTATTGGCTATCAAATTTTGTATACGAATTTGTATGGTCTATAATCATGTGCACACTATTAACAATTATAGTTAAAGTAAGTTATTTGGATTTGAACCTGCGTTCGACAAATCGAGTAGCTGCTGCAGAATATTTAATATTCACTGATTTTTGTTGAGAATACACCAAAACTTTAATTCAAGGAAGCTTTAAAACACACTTAAGGGCTGCTCAATTTTGAAAAGTGTTTGTAGTTTTTTTGGAAATCAATATCTCACAACCTTGATATATTGCAACGGTACCAGTTCGGGTAGTACTTGCGATACACGTTTATATTAATTCGTTTGTTCTGCTCAAAAAAACAAATTGCAAGCGGTGCCAACTTTTAAGGTAGAATCTTTTAGCTAAGCAAAATGCGAAACAACTACAGTCTTAAAAAGTTCAGAGTTTAGGTTGTTGCTAAAATACTCCACTGTGGTAAATTACTGATAGTATACACGTTCTTTTAGATATCTGCAGCATTAATGTCTTCAAATCTTGATGCTGAAGTACATTTGTATGGTGATCATCTACCACAAATTATCTTATATTTTTTCTTTCTAATACTATTTTGTACTGCGATAATACCAATTATCTATACATTTTCATTTATTATGAAAACAGAGTTAATCGGTTTTATCAATTATATAATTATCAATAATTTAGCATGTAAGTAGACAATTTTCGAAATTTTATTCTAACATCTATGCTTAGTAGTAGTGGTAGTTTAGATTTATGAGCATTTCAAAAAGAATTCTTCTGACTATGGTTGAAACTAGTAATTTTCGATCCTGTTACTCTTTATCGCAGGTTTCTTCGATGCAACACTTACATTCGTTGAAGTATTTAGTTCTAATAAAGCTCGTGATGGAAATAGTAGTAGTAATCAGATCTTACATTTAATCTATGGTTTACGTTTATTACTATCGATATTATTTCCATGTGTAAATTTAAAACGTTCTTTATATAATATCCGTTTACATGATAATACTGACTGTATAAAATCAATTAATTCAATACTTTCAGGTATAGATTGAAAGAGTATTTACAAAATATAATTGGTATGGGCTTTGTTGTGTCTAAATTTATTTAGAAGAACGAATGGGTCAGAATGTCGATTGGTTTAGTTTTACTGAACCAGGGTTAGGTATACAATTATTGATATTTCTTTTACAAATTTTATTTTGGTGTATCACATTAATCATAATTGAACAATGGTCTACGCTGAAGAAAAAATGGTGGTGGTACAAAAATAAACATAAAATAATAAACGATGAGTATGATTACAACGTAAGTAAAATTGAGAGACAAGACTGACAATGACAAACTCCGTGGTCGAATCTGAATGTGCATTCTGTGAGCTTGAAAAAGAGTTATCACTGATATTGACACAAAAAAAGTGGAATCGAGCAAGACTTTGATAAAAACAAAACACTCTTAATCATAAAAATAAATTTTCTGCAGCAACATCCTTTTTTCTTAGTTATGTTCTCATTCCCAATTAGAGATGTTACAGTTTGTAAATTGTTCTTCTTTTCCTAGAACCTTGACGACGATGTAGACACAGAACGTGTCAAAGTTGATTCAATTTATAAAAATCCGTTATCATCAGTATCAAAAACTGTTGTACTTTGTAGAAATTTAGTGAAACAATTTAATAAACGTGAAACAAAAACACGCTGCTGTTGTTGTCGCTGCTGCTGTTGCAAAAGTACAGAAGACGTCAAAATAGCTGTTAATCATTTGAATTTTTGTACGGAAAATTTATCATGTTTTGGACTATTGGGTAATATGATTAAATTTTGTACTATACTTTACATTTCTTCACAATTCTTTTTTTTACTTTCTACTTTTCATAAAGGACCGAATGGTGCTGGTAAGTGATGTTATCCTATCAAGCCTTATTATGCAGAAACTCACTTTATTTATTTTTGCTTCATTTATAAAAGGTAAAACAACAACATTTAGTATGTTAACCGGTGAATTAGAGCAAACGTCCGGCAATATTTTAATTTGCGGAAAAGATAGTCAAAATACAAGTGACGACAATGATGCGGTAAGTGACAGTATCTCTGACATTCACATTGCCACCGTTTACATATCAGCATATGTCTGTCTAGGAGAATGCAGCTGTAAAAATTGGCTATTGTCCACAATTTGATTGGTTAATTGAAAGTATGAATGTAGAAGAAACATTGACATTATTTGCACGTTTACACGGTTTGAAGGAATGTGAGATTAAAGATTTATGCAAAAATACAATAAAATTATTTGGATTGGATACATATGAAGATCGATTAGTACAAAAATTAAGGTAATCCAAATGTGTCGAATTTGGAATCTATATATATCGATGGAACGGGCATTTTTGTTTATCGAGTGAATGTGAACAGAAACTTTCGGTAGCGTGTTCTTGTATTTTTTCCTTCTAGCGGTGGTAATGCACGAAAATTAAGTAGCGCTATAGCATTCATGTCTAATCCACAATTAGTTTTCTTGGTAAGAATTACAACCTATAATACACATACCTCACTTCTTTCTTCTAAGCTGTTTCTTAACGCTCATTTTCTCTGTCTATTAATTGTTCTAAAAAATCAGGACGAACCGACAACTGGCCTTGATGCTGTTAGTAAACGTAAATTATGGACTGTTATACGAGCTGCAAGAAATCAAGGAATAACAATCATATTGACTAGTCATAGGTAATTTACTCTCAGAACGATTCTCATTTACCCACTTTCGTCTATGATTATTATTAGTATGGAAGAGTGTGAAGCATTATGCACCCGTATTGGCATTGTTATTGATGGACAATTTCGTTGTATCGGTGAATTAAATTACTTACGTAATAAATTTTCCAATTATTTCCATAAAGGTTATACCGTACAGGTGAATGTTAAAGACGATCAACAAACAGTGATGAATGATCTTTTCGACAGATTTCCAAATATTGAAATGGAAGGTAGATGAAATGAATTTTCTCATTGTTCACAATGATCTATCTACGGCACTTCTCTGAGTTGTGCATTTATTTTCATATTCATAGTATTACAAAATGGTATTTTATCATGTAACATACCGTTGAAACAGACTTCTATGCTATCATCTACCGACGAGGATGAAGAACCGTTGACAACAACAACTACCACAGCGACACTAAAATTATCAGATATATTTCAATATTTTTATAAACAGAAAACAGTTTCAAAATCAATCAATAGTTATTCAATATCACAAACAACATTAGAACAAGTGTTTGTTTTATTAGTTAAAGAACATGAAAATGAACAACAAATGAGATCACCGATCATTAATTTCGATGGTGATAGTGCTGTTAAGACTGGTGTTTCTGTGAGTGTAATGCGCCGAACGACAACGGAGCAAAATGGTGATGGATCGGCAATAGGGAATATCGTCACTAGGTTATAAATATTCACAAAACAAAGTCAAAGAAAAGTCAGATGTCTGTGATATTTTCTATTTTCTTTTGTCTGATTACTTTTTCTATTTTTGTCTTCTGATTGGTAGACCAGTGACTACAAGTGAGAAACAAAGAATTGTAATCAAAATGCGCCGTTTTCACTGATGTTGCTTACAAAAGGTAGCAACCACTAAGTGCGGTATTTGACTGAGCGGTAAATTTCGTTCGGTTTTAGCTGACTGCTAGAACTAAAATCTCGTTCTCGTACGAGCTATAGGGCCTTTCTAGTAAACTCTATAACTTTGCAAAGAAAGGCCATGTAAAGCTGGGAGATGTCTTGTTTCAATCAGAAATGTGCGGGATACAATCACGCTTCATTAAGAAGAATTCTTTTTGAAATGCTCATAAATCTAAACTACCACTACTACTAAGCATAGATGTTAGAATAAAATTTCGAAAATTGTCTACTTACATGCTAAATTA